ACGGAGCCAGCAGTGGAACCGGCCGGGATGAGCGGGGCTGGGACACGGCTCCCCCCGGGCGGGCGGAGGGACCCGCTCGGCACCACGGAGAGCTCCCGCCCGGCCCCGGCCCCGGCCCCCCCAGCGCGGGCCGGCGGCCCCTCCGCCCCAAGGCGGCCGAAAGTTGCGCGTGTCCGAACAATGCGGCGAGGACTATTTGTCCTTCCGCCGGCCGGCTGTGACGGGAGGGGGCGGTGCGGGCCGCCGTCGAGCGGACGGGAGGGGCCGGGGCCGCCCCTGGCCTCAGGCCCCCGGGGCCGAGCGCTCCCCGGGGCCGGTTATGAAAGCCAGGGGAGCCGCCGGGGGCCGTCCCAGCCGGCGGAGCGGCAGCGCCCGGAATGGCTCCTCCCTGTGCGGGGCGGGGGGGAGAATCTCACGTCCCCCCCTTCCTGCCGCCGCCGGGAGAGGCAGGGCCGCCGCCCGCCCCGGGCCCTCGGGCTCCCGGCTCCGTGCCCGCGGTTAGAGCCGCGCAGCGCGGCTCGGCGGCCGTGTGCGCCAGGGAAACTGCCCCTCCGCCCGCCGGCAGTGCCAGAAACCAACCCGAGCAGCACCGGCGGCAGAGAACAGTTTAAATCAAAAAGTGGCTTTAAATTCACACAGGAGGCGGTTTCGGTACTTACTCCGTCTAAGTAAACCTTTTTTAAATTAACCAAAACCAATTAACAAGTTGAAGTTAAAAGCAACATAATGTTTTGTTGTTTTTACAGTACCTCGCTACTTGAAGAGAAATACATAGTCACAGATTTACACTAGCTTCATAAAATTATTCTAAAATTATACTGTCTTCAAAGGTGACTTTAAAAAAATCACTATGATACAAAGCTTAATTTAAACGAACACCTAAACATATTCCTAAGCAAAGCATTCATTAAATCAAGAGCAGATTGAGATCCCTGGAGGAAAAAGTTGCTCTTTCCAGCGAATCTCGACCTTTCTGTGCAGCAGCCCAGGCACGGCCACACAGATCCCGGCTGCCAGGGGAGGGAGGGGTGAGGAGCCTGAGCCCCCCGGTACAGCCTGAGCCCCCCCCCGGTGCAGCCAGGCTCAGCTGCCGGAGGGACAGACTGCAGGCAAAACCCACCCAGGGTGTCTGCTGCTGCACTCCTCCAGAGCTCTTCATTTTGAGAAAACTCATTTATTAACTCAGAAAACAGAGATTACAACCAAGAATCACGTAACTGAGATTATCAAAGGGAGTTATTTTCAGTGGGGAAATGAATACAAAGTTTTAAGCTTCCTACGTATAAACTCTACGCCCTTCACTACACACTTGTCCAACGGATTGCATCATGCAGTTCAACGTGAGCAGCTCTGAAATATCCCCAGGATAAGCATTACTGCTGACAGGGACTGGGGCAAAGCATCTCTCACCAAGAAGGTCTCTCACACTGCCAGACGTTGGCTAGACAGTCACAATGGAGGTCATTTGCAGAGAGGACAGAGCATGAATATCACCATTTTTAGCCTGGTTTTCTCAGGAAATCACTTGCAGGCAACTACACGGTGTTCATGTGGACAGATGTGATTCCTTAATAAATTATAAACTTATTTGCTAATTTTAACCAAGGAAAATGAGGAGATCACATCACACACAGTTAATGGAAACAGGGATTAGAGCAGGAAAAGAGGAGATCGTGTCAGTGCACCTACTGAAGGAAGGACCAGTTGAGGTCAATCCTTGTCAGCAACCAAAGAACCCAGACAGGAGATGCAAAGCCAGGGGAAGGGAACTTTATGTAGTTCCCCTTCTGGCACAACAATTTCTGGTATTCCGCCTGCCACCGGGAGCTGGAACCAGCAATCTGTTTCACGCAGACCTTTTTTAGCATTTCCCCATCTCCAAAGTTTCACAGGAGCCAGGAAATAATTGCTTTAATGTAATCAAAAGCCATATAACCCACAGATAATGTTTTCCATTCTAAAATTGCTTGAAAGAATGTAACTGAAGTCTGACTACAGCCATTCATCAGCTGGTCCCAGATGGGCCTCTCATGCATGAGATTCCCACTGAACACCAATTCCCTCCTCGGCACTGAAGGGAACAGGTTCTCTCCCTTGAACAACTAATGGACCATCAGATTACACATTCTGGGGAACCAAGGGATGACAGAGAAGGCTGAATTTACAAAGGAAAATCACAGCTTTGAAGAATAGTAGAACTATTTATATCAAGCACGTAGAACTACACTTTAAATTACACTGAAAAAACTTTCTTTTCTTAAATCAGTGGAGTGGTAATATATGACATTGGTATTATTTTCTGTTATTGGTTTGGGATTATTATTTTTTCAGGTTTTAGGAAGAAAAAAATAATCTTAAAGTTCTATTTTAAGACTGTGGCAACCTCTTCTTAGGTGGTATCTCATATGGAGAAAAATGTGAATATTCAAGTATTTCCCTCCTCATTTGTTATCATGATTATTTTTGTCCAACAATATCTGCAGAGCACATTAGATCAATCTTCATCTGGGAACACAATTGTGGGCAGGCTCCTCGTCATATGTATTTATAATTTCATTCTAATTAATATAAATAATTCTGTTAGAAATAAAGGACAGTCTTGCAAGTGCTCTGTTCATAGAACTATTGACTGACTACATTTAATGTTCTTTTTACATGAATCATTAAGGATTGAGCTCCACAAAACGTCTCATCCCCCATAATTTGCCCTTATGTGGCTCTTAATGTAGTGAAATCTAGGGGAGCTGACTCAGTTACTGAAGAGACTTGATCATCTAAGATGCTGAAGATCCTAGTTCTCTGTCTCAGAGTGGGAAAAGAAACAGTTTCAGAAATAATAACGTGATAGGGTTACTATGTATAGCATATTGCTATTTTGACCATAAAGTGTTTCCATGACAGACATGCAAATATTCAAAGCCAGATGACTTCAACAATGGTACCCATGCTTTTGATGAACTAGTTTGCATTATCTCATCTGATCCCCTCTTTTATCATATGTAGATGAGACATCTTATGCATTCACATGGTTTTGACATTGTCACATGCAGATACTTATTGCAACTACATAGTTTCCAGATGCTACAGAATAGCACAGCATCCTATTCAACAATGTGCCCAACAGAAATTTTACGAGTTTGCACTCAAACTAGAAACACAGAAAATTATGGGTCTTATACCATGTAGTAGGTAGTTGCATACAGCTCTCAAGTCTAGAACTGAAGTACACTTCAAACGAAGTGAATTTTTTAGGGTTTAGTTTTACCTTTCTTTTTTTTGAGAGGGGTTTACTTTCTAAACAGCATATTTATGCTTTCAGTTCTTCTGTGCTTATACAGCATTAGTTATAACTTCCAGAGCCATCATAAATCACCAGTAATCCTACCCCAGCTGCAGGTCCTGGAGAGCTGGCATGTGTCAAACAGAGGCTTCTGAATGAAATACGACCTTTAATCAAGTTTCAACAGCTTATAAGAACAGAGAACATAAGAAAGGCCATGCTGCTCAGACCAAAGGTCCGCCTAGCCCAGCAGCCTGTCTCCAAAATAACAACCCAGTATAGTGTCCATTCTTTTCAGTTTAATCTCTCATGTTCTCAATGCAGTGACTATTCAGTGGGATTCTGGAGAGTGGAGATAAGTTTGGCCCTGTGCCCATTCCTGGTACTGCATAGTTTCCAGAGTAACGAGAAAAAACAATCATTAGCCAGTGTGGGACATGCAGGGAAGTAGGACAGAACCAGGCATGAGCAGAGCCATCCTGTACCTGCCCTTCTGACAATAAGAAATTTAAGAAGTTCTCAAGCAAGAAGATGCATTTCATTGTTGGTCTTAATGGCTATTGAGGGCTTATCCTTTACGCATTTCTTGGGTTCACATCAAACTGTTTTAACTACTCAGCAGTTGTACGTGTAGACACCATGAAAAAAAGAGTCAGCAAGTAATGAAACTTTTTAATACTGTCAATGGAGCAAATATATTCCATGAGGTCAACTCTTTGAAAGTCAGTAAGGGAGATCCAAGTCTTGAGGGGGAAGACTTGTATTTGTTCGCCATCAGATACAGGATAAATATATTGCTATTGAAAGTTCTGAGGGCCAAGTTGGATTTCTGATAAAATATGAGATTTTAGTCAGTCATTTACGTTCCCTAGATCACCTTATCTCTTGTTGTAAAATTAAGGTTTTACAATATGGAACACACTGTGATCAGCCCAGGGTTTCACGCTTAGTTTGCTACTATATCCAAATGTTGGGCTGACCGAGCAGAATGGTTAAAGGCCAGTCTCTCTCTGCATTTGTCTTAGTAGGACTCAGGCTCTTCTACTCAGATTCTAATTTTCATGAGACTTGTAGGGATTTAGTATCTTTGATTAACATTGGGTAATACATTTAAAGGTTATTGGAAAGACAAACAGAAGAACTAGTAGTGCAACCACATAAACATGTCTTCCATTAAGGAAAAACAGAATAAAAGCAGTTATAAAAGGTACTTGCCATAATATTGTTCTGATTGAAGTCGATGAATATGAAGCTATTGGCTTCAAAGGAGGACCAGAGTATAACCCATTTAGTGTTCCTTCAATAATATTTCCAGCACAAGCGTCACAGTCTGTCAAAATAATTCATATTACATGTGAAAATTTTTCATTAAGATCCATAAGAAAAATTGTTATTTCAAAGTCAAGAGATTTTTCTGACATTGTTTCGTATTAATCCTCTCTATTTCAAACTGCACAAAAAATTCAGATTAGTTGTATAGCTCAAGGCAATTCCAAAGTTTACATTCATTGTTGATGGTGATTGAAGTGATGGTTATTAGAGACCTGAGCATCTGCATTGCCATCAGGGTCCTGGCTCAGAACTGAAAATTGAGGGGTTGCTGAGCCCAAGCTGAAGTTCAGACCATACTTTTATCTCTGGGAGGCAAGAATTATGGTACAGTTTGCAAATTTTTTTCCATGTCAGACTCAGTTTGTTTTTGAAAGGCTACTGTTGCATAAATAGGTCTGAATACTGCCTCCCACTTCATATTACAATCCCTGCTCTTATTTTTAATGTTAAGAAAAATATTTTAGCAGCACAAATAGAAGACTTGCAGCAGAATCTTGCACTCCTGAACCATCTCAAAGTTTTAAGTTTCTCTTCAGTGGAGCCATGATTTTCTCTCTGGGCTTTCAACTCTGCCCATAATCGAGTAACTCTGTATAGGTCAGTTTCATTTTCTTTATCTCAGTTGCCTCACATGTAAAATGAGAGTAGACAATAACGTCTCTTAAAGGGTTGCCAAGAGGAACTAAACTATAAGATCTTCAAATGAAACACATAGTAAAAAAAGGTTTTAAGTAATTTAACATTTAAAACTAGAAGTGGGTAATATTCTGCATACCTATATGACTGTATTTTAATTTTGAATTATAGGATACAAGTACACAGAAAAAACCTTAGGTAACTTATACAAGTTACCACTAGTGTTATACTACCTTCCTTTAAAAAAGCTAATAATGTTCATCTAACAAAAATCCTCATTATTGCTATTTCATACACAACGATTTAAAGAGACACTGTCCTATAACTTCTTTAAATATCTTTTCAAACTTTATCAGAAGTATGTTTAGAAATTACCGCCTGTAGAAGTATTACTAGAATGTATAAATATCACCTGCATTTCCTAACAGCTTTACAGTACCTAAAAAATATCTTAAGATTCTACTACCTGTGAAAGCAAGGATTTTCTAAATAATTTTTTATATGCAGAGATCATAAATGTAACTTTCTATGTTAAATCCCACTTACCCAATTTCTCTGATCATATTTTAAAATACGTATTCATTTCAATAGGAAACAGTTTCTATGGTTACACCTTCTACCTGATATTACAAAAACACTGTGAAACATATGTTGCAACTCAGGATCAATATAGCCTTTAAACTCTCCTTAAATCAAATAATGAAAAAGGAACTATTAGAATATCAGTTGAGAGCTGCTTGTTGGGAGGAGGTGGTGTTTGTTGATGTGTTTTTTGGTTTTTTTTTATGCTGCAGCTTCGTATTTGTATATTGCATGTATGGTGGTTAAGCTGGAATGGTAAAATAACACATTTTAAAATGAAAATGTTTTACTCCTTAGTCTGTGAGACAAGGCCATTTCTTGGACAACTCTAAACAAACAGGAAAATTTCTTTGTAGTACATTTTACAGCTATTTGGGCATCTGTAGTTTAAAAATAAAATAAAACATTATCGATTATTACTACAAATTATTACTTGTTTGCATTTCACATTTTCAGACCGTGTTTTTCACCCCTCTATTATAGGATACACAATATCCAAACAGACTGGATATAGGGTTTAGACATCCAGAACTGTAATATCCAGTGTAGATGCAAGTCTGGGAAGAAGGCCATAGAACAGGTAAAGCTTAACTTTGAAAAAGAGGTCTCCAGCTTCTATTTTGCATAGGAGAGGCATTATTTTGACTCTGTTTGATAAGAAAAGAGTTTTAAGAAGCCTGTATGAGCTTTCTTGAGACAAGAAATTTCCCTGTGGGATTGCTTTTCAGATTACCAGTTAATGATAAACAGTGATACTGTAGCACATAAGCAACTCTAACTGGCATGACACAATAGAATACCAGAACCGTTACTATTATATCATGATATTCATGATACTGGTCTTGTGACCTGTTCAGTGCCACCGTCTTGGTCTGACTTAGCTCTGCTGTACCTAGGATAGCTGGTCATTCCCTTATATCATTTGATCTGTTGATCTTCTGAGGTCCCTTCCAATGTGAATTATCCTATCATCTTGTGATCCTATGATTCTTCATATTACTCAGTTTAACGCTTAAACCCTCACACCAGCAGAGAAATTGTTCATGAAGAACTGCTATTGGTATGTAAAACCTTCTCACAGAGGATGGAATGGCGATGCTTCTGATCTACAGTCAGCCTTCAGAAAGGTTAGCAATGAAATATCAGATAGTCTCTCAAATGTAGGAAAAAAATCAAGACATTTTGTTTAGCATAATGTAAAGCCAAATTAAAAGTAGGACAGAAAGCTTTTGGGGGAATAGACACATGGTAAATAAAAGTGGCTGCTGCCACTGCCACCCTGCAGGGCCTTATAAGATATCATGGAATGTGTCAATGTGATTTATTTTTATGAATTATTCCTATGGGCATTATGTATGTATTCTGTGAAGATTAAAAGGAGTTGCTTCTTTAGAGATACTACATTAAGAATCACCATAATGTTATAATTTAATTTTATAAAATAAAAGATCCCGCTCACTGAAAATAAATCAGTATAATAGAATAAACATTGTATACAAATTCCATCACAGAACATTTCACAAGGCTGAATGCATTTTTTAAAGCCAATGAAATCAGAAATGAAAGAGATGAGGCAATGAGCAAAAATAATTTCCAGTTTTGAAGCTGTGTACTCAAAGACATATTTCCTGTACTGTAGGATTTAATTTTCTTAATTATATCTGTTAGCCCTTCATGAACTTATGAAGTGGTTCCCACTGTTGCTCTCTCTTGGTTGTTTTGTTTTGTTTTTAAAGAGAGTACCAGTCTGTCAAGTCTGTCAATTGCCTGTAGAGGCACCGTTTTCAGAAAAATCTGTAATTTCAACCCCCATTGAGCAATACTATGATTACCTCAAAAACATTTCCAGTGGGTTTTATGTATTTCTAATAATCCATACTGAAGGTCAAACTACACTTTATACAGGACTACTAACTATATATGTAAGTTTCTATAATAATTAATCACAATAGAATAGAATGCTTTTCTGTGCAGTAGCTTTAAGGAGTGAACAGCCTATTTGCTACAGCATCAGAAAGCATTTAATGAATGGCCCCTAGAGCCAGCGCTGATTACCTTCTTGGTTCTGACTATAAGCACGAAGTTTCCACCAGAGTACACTTATTTCTGATGGGTGCCAACGTTGATGTAGACAGTACTCCCTATACTTTTAGTCAGTGCTGTCTGGGAAAACTATCATTGTGTGCAGTAAGACTGTCAGAATTCTCTTTCACAAAAACCTTCTAGGACTAGACCTGGCTGTTGACTATGGCTGACATCCACACTGAAGGGCTCAACTCTGAACTGAACACTTTGTCAGCTACAACCTGAACATGTTTAAAGCTTTAGGCAATACAGAAGGTTTCGCTCCTGTGCATGACAGGGCATGAAAATAAACCATGTTTCCACTTTATACATAAAGAAAATACCCAATTCTAAAAAAAGTCTCATATCATTAATTTTAAAGATTATTAGTTCATTTAATTTTGTGTATATGTAGATAACTATTGTCATCTTTTCATATTTCTTTATTCCTTTTTTTTTCTTCCTGTCTCATAGCGTGTTGTGATTAAGGTAGGTTCTTGGTTCTTAGAATTGTTTTGTCTTCATCAGTAAATGCAAATTTGTGGCAGACCACTCATGCATGAGAATGTAACTGTACTTGTACATTAATTATATACATATATATCTACATACATATTTATGTGTCTATATGTTAACTATAGCACAACACACTTGAGACATATTATAAAATAATTGCTAAAAACATTATTTATTAAATTAAAATTTCTTTTTAACAGATGTTCCAAGTACTTACTTGAGTATAGACTCTCTTTAATATAGATTTTGGTCTAGTTAAAGGAGCTTCTTAAAAACACCCACAGACACAAAAGCAAGAGAAATCAGGAAAATTGATTCTGTCACATTCTGGAGGTAGTTATAAAGCAATTTATTGTTTATGGAAGGACTTCAAAAGCTCATAAGCATTGGGGGCACCATGTATGGGAAAGGAAGTCAAGTTCATAAACAACTCACCAAATGTTACAGAAGAAGGAGAATGATCCTGGGTATCTTAGGGAACAGTGATATATATCCAAAGGCTGTTCCAGAGTAACACGAAATCTAGGGAATGAAAAACATCTGTAAATGTTCTCCTGTTTTCTCTACACAAATAGTCTCTTTATGCTACTAATGGTAAAAAGACACTGCCTTAGAAATCACATCACAAAATCTGGTGTTCTACATCAGGACTCTGACTGCAGTAATAAGCTCTCTCAGTAATTGCTTTGACCAGTCTCACCTGAAGTCTCTCCACACCTTTGACCAGGGTCTCCATTTAAGCTCAGGTTGTGCCTTTCATCCCCTTCCTGGGCTGTATCTTAGGTATATCTGCTGTTGGCCTACCTATTGCCTGATGATTGCTGGGCCACTAATAGGACTTATTGCTTGTCTGTTTCTGGTGCTGTAAGACCATGTCCTGAGGTGATGTCCTTGCCTAGCCTGCACTGTGGCTACCCCTTAGCTACCAGCTCACCTCCCCTTAGAAGGCAACCTGCTCTTGCTGTTCCCTGATCTTGTACTTGAACTGCATTCCTCCAGACCATGAGAAGAATTCCTGTAGGGTTAGCAACGTGGAAAGCTTGTAAGTAGTACCTGAAATCTTCACTCATCTTATGATGGAAGGTAAGCTGCAGCCAGATTGATGGGCCCTTTCTGGGCTTGCAGTTTGTAACTGTAACTCAAATAGCTTTGGAACCTACACAGACCAGTGCAAAAGTACACAGCATGTGATACCATCCAAGTAGTTACTGTTGTAACAAATACTGAGATATCACTTTTATATGAGACAACTTTTGTAATAAATACGCACATTTATTTTATTATGTATTAGCATGTAAGTACTGGGACAATTACTGGAAAACCATTACTGCAAGAAATGTGTTTAATGACTGTAGACCCATCTTGCCCATTAGCTAAGTCTTGACCATTATATTTACTTTTTATTGTAAGAGAATGGAAAAAGTATGTGTTTTTTTATAGAACACAAAACTCTCTGTACTATCTTCCAGAGATTTTTAAGCAGGATGGCAGCATACCTCATCTATCCACTGCTCAATTTCAAATTCCAAAACGTGTTTTAAAGAGTTAAGTACTAATCAAAATTTTTGCATTCACACAAAGTAGTCTCACTGAGTCATTTATCAGTGAAGTGTTAGGAATGAGTCATAATTTTACAAAGTGCCGTTTTTCTATAGTATATTAAATGCAAAAGCATGTCAAACATATTGCTACTAAGGTTTATTGTTAAGTCTGCCAAAAGCGTTTTGTTCAAAATAATGTTTGCTGTATTTCATATAGCTTGAAGTCTAAATTAAATGAGCTGCTTTGCTGCAGTCAACAGAAGAAAAGAATTCTTTCCCTGCCTCAACTCTTTGCCATGAGCAGCAATGGTGTCAGCATTGAACTATGCTACAAACATCAGTGGTGCTAATTTGCAACTATGCCTTGAGCAATTGTGGAGTGTCTTTGCCACTCTACCCTTATCCCTAATGCAAGATCGGTGAATGATGATGCTACGTAGCTGGCCCTTCTCTAGTGGCCCCAGTCTCAGTCTCTCACTCTAAATTATAGAAACTGCATTCTCTTCTATAGGCTAAAAGGTTTAGATGTCTACCTGAATTTGTAGCCTATTCCAGGCACATATGCTTTGAATTAGGCAAGTGAGTGCCATATCTCACATATGCATGGTGTGTATAGGATTAGTCATTTACTGAAGTGTTACCAGGAAAAAAAAAAAAATCACAGCAGCTAATATAGACATGAAAATATGAGTATTTAGTCCAGAAGGCTCTGTGTATCATTTACATCCTACTATATAATTCAAACTCTTTCATCTAGAAGTATGCAGGGTTTGTAAAATGGTGATTCAACCACTACTTTTTCAGGGTTAACTTGAAATTACACACTACCCAGATCACATTGAAAGGTTGTGGGAGTCTCTATGTGAAAATTATTGACAACTGAAACCCAACTACAATCTTTCTATGCACCCTTCTGCAGCCCTCCCCAATCGTGATTCATGACAATCAATATAAGTTGCACTTTCTAGAATAGAGGACTTGATTCTAAATGTGGTGTATATTTGTCTAAGCCATAAAAATACTATGGAAGGAGGGGCCCAAGGCTAAAATAGCAGGTGTTTTTCAAGCTAGAATTGGAATCAATTGGCGGCACTGCATGGGGGAAGCTTGCACAGTATCTTCCTGAACTCTGATTTAAGCAATTGTTTGCAACCGTTTTTTTCATGAAGTTAAGATTAACTGTTCTTTTTTTTTTTTTAATAAATTATTTAAGAATATAACTTCTAATCAGTCCTTTTCATGTTAAAATTTGCTGAGCTTCCTGACAGAAATATCTCATAATTTCTTGAATACAAGCAAGAGTTAATATAAAATTGCAGATCTTTTGTAAGTGTTTTGAGCAGTGGCTTTATGACTGCGAAGTCTGTCAGGTTTTTTTTAATGGCTCACATTCAGTATCAGAACTATGGGTGGCATCAGGTGTCTAAGTTTTGCACCATTTAAACCTGCCAGCTGTTTAATTGTTGAATAATAAAACCTTCTTGGAATAAAAATAAAGGGAATTTTCAATAAGACCAGTCAGAGCAAGATCACTAGATGCCACTTTAACTGCATTACACAGCTCTTCAGAGTGTTTCACTGAGTATAGGTACAATTTCAAAGGGACAGATTTTCTAGGTTTCTGAACTCTTTGTGCTCCTCTGCCAGTAAGGAAAGACCAGAAACAGGGCTGACAGCAAGCATAAAATGAGTGAAACAGGATGCAACAGTTCACTGCCTATAACTGCCAATCTTAATGGGGGAAGTGACTACAACACCCTAGGGTAGGGTGGGGAGGGTGACCCTAGTCCTCTGGGTCACTGCTAAGTAGGAAGGATTAGAGCACTCCCCAGGTTGCGGGCATCTGTTATAGCCAAAGCACAACTTCAACAGCAGATAGTTTGTAGTACTCTTCCAGTTCCTCTTGCCTCCCTACCTAGCAGAAATTTGCTACAGCAAAGAATTATGTGCCCATTTTAACAAGATTTCTTGCAGTTCTTGTGCTAAGGAGTGCCTTTGTCCTGCCCACAAGGAAGGCTACTGTCTAGGCTGCTTGCTGTCCTTCATGCTACTCTTCATCAGTTATTGATTTACTATAGGCACTGCTCAGCAGTGCTCAGGATGGTCAGCATGAAGATTCTTCGTGTAATCACTGATGGGTTACTCCATCATTTCTTACTCATGTTTATATCATTCTGGAGGTAGACCGTATTTCCAGATGCTAGTAAACAATTACATTTCAAAGGATCAGGAATGTATCTTTCCTTTTTTTAAGCAAAACATGGCCAGACTCTTCTCAGTGGTGCTCAGTGACAGGACAATAGGCACAACCTGAAACACATTAAATTCCATCTAAATGTAGGAAAACACTTTACTGTGAGAGTGACTGGATGCTGGAATAGGCTGTTGAGAGTGATTGTGGAGTTTCCTTTCTTGGAGACATGGCCCTGGGAAATCTGCTTTACCTGATGCTGCTTGAACAGGGGCGTTGGACTATATAGAATTTAGGTGTCTTCCAACCTCAACTATTCTGTGATTCTGGAACTAGACCACCTTCTTCAATGCAGCCATCATATGACTTATGCCTTCTACTTTGAGATTAGGTAACTGTAATTGATTCAACAGGGCAAAGCATCATGACCACTGAAGAGTATGAAGCTGTTAGAGATTCATAGCCTAATGGTGAAAATGAGATACCTAAAATCAAACAAATCACTTTACTTTTTCATGTCTATCCTGACTTGTGTGTGATTGAGGAGGAATCTGAAAAAGTTGGGCTGATTACATTACCACCCTGGAATTGCCCTAAATGACAGACCACATCTCTCCCTCTCTGTTCTGCGTAGTGAGCAGCAGAGGTGACAAAGCTAGCTGATGTGCCACTGGCAGAACTGTCTGCCAGCATCTCTCCCCACTGCCACATCTTCCCCTCCGGTCTCCAATAGGCAGGTGGTGTTAACTCAAGCTACTCTATAAAGCTGCAGGAGTTTCACAGGAGAGAGACACTGCTGAGAAGATTCTCTTTGGAATTAGCAGGGTGTTTTCACTCTTTCATATGTTCTGAGGACAAGCACTATCTGCTGCTTGCTGCACAGTGTTTGTAGGCATTACTGATTTACAAAAGGGTAATTTTAAAGAATGAGGAAGATCACAAGTATTCTGGTTGAAAACATTCTTTGTCTTTGTACCTTCCGAATAAACGTAGTTTGAAATTCAGCTTTCTTACACTCTGTCTTCTCCCCCTAAATGGTAGAGATGAAGTGTCATTCAGGTGTGTTGGAATATTCCCCTATTTCAAAAGCTACCCATACAGAAATGTTTGGCTTCCCTTCAAATGGAACCGTATAAAAAGGAGAAAAACTGCTGAGCACACAGGTTAGCAGCAGCTGCCCTTTAAAATGATTGATACTTTAAAATGACTAGGGGATTGGATTTATACTTGTGAAAATGGAACGAGAAGTACAGCAGAGAGGCCATGAAAATCAGGCTTATATTATGACTAGTTGCACTCATGAAATGTGATTAGATTATCAGCAATAAAACTTGCACAGATCATGGAGTTAAACATATTTGTACAGAGAGGCCCCAGCTGTACTGGCTTAGAGGAGTGCACTTGTTTAACAAAGAACTTGCAAACAAAATAGCTCACTTAAAAAGGTAGATGCAGAAAACTAGAGATTTTGATGTTATGCTTCCAAATGTGGGCAGAAAGTGAATTTTTTTTTTAACTTTTAAGTGATTTTCAAATACTTTTCAGTGGACAGTACCACAAAAACTAAAAACCCCCAAACAATTTTTAAGAAAACAATAGATCAGTAATTTTTAATGTTATTCCTATGATATTGGAACTAATTGTATGCATTACCCATTTCAAATGTTTGTGCCTTAATAAAAACTGAGTATGCACTTAGCCAGCCCTATCAGTACAAAGTTACATGAGGTATTAATACACCAACACCCCCCCCTTATATACCACTAGAAAAAAGATGCCCTTTATCTTTT